AGTTTGCAGTGAAAAGTCACCACTTTCAATGTCATCTTAGGTACCAAGGTACCTTGTACAAATTCTCAAGTACATGTTCTTAGGAAAAAAGAGTAGAAAGATAAAGAAGTAAAAAATTCAGCAATAAATTAGAAAAATAGAGAAATCAGAGTTTGGAATAGTAGTCCTTCCACCAGACCATACTGGGCTTCACCTCAAAACCTGGAGTCCAAGTCCACACTGAGGCCGGGAGTTTGAGCCCACGCTGAGGCCGGGTGTTCGAGCCCACGCTGAGGCCGGGAGTTTGAGCCCACGCTGAGGCCGGGAGTTCGAGCCCTTGCTGAGACCAGGAGTTTGAGCCCACGCTGAGGCCGGGAGTTCGAGTCCTCACTGAGGCCGGGAGTTCGAGTCCACGCTGAGGCCGGGAGTTCAAACCCATGCTGAGGCCGGGAGTTCGAGTCCACACTGAAGCCCGGAGTCTGAGTCCACACTGAGTTCAGGAGAGACAGTCCACGCTGAGGCCGGGAGTTCGAGTCCACGCTGATGTTGGGAGTTTGAGTCCACGTTGATGCCGGGAGTTCAAGCCCACGCTGAGGCCGGGATTTTGAGTCCACGCTGAGGCCGGGATTTTGAGTCCACGCTGATGCCGGGAGTTCGAGCCCACGCTGAGGCCAGGAGTTCGAGTCCACGCTGAGGCCGGGAGAGACAGCCCACGCTGAGGCCGGGAGTCTGAGTCCACGCCGAGGTCAGGACTTTGAGTCCACGCTGAGACCTGGAGTTCGAGTCTATAATGAGGCCGGGAGTCTCAGTCCATGCTGGAATTGGATGGAGGTAAACCTGGATTCGGAAGGTGCTGTTTAAGGAGTGTTGGTCAATTTATAGAGTGCATCTTGTAGATGGCATACCCTGCTGTTACTGAGGCGAACAGAGTTGATGTTTGTAGATATGGTGCCAATCAAATGAGCAGTGTCAATCTTCTTGAGTGTTGTTGGGGCTGCACTCATTCAGACAAGTGGGGAGTATTCCATCACACTCCTGACTTGTGCCTTGTAGATGGTGGGCAGGTTTGTAGAGTTAGGAGGTGAGTTATTCACTGCAATATTCCTAGTGTCTGGCCTGCTGTTGTAGCCACTGTGTTTATGTGGCTAGTCCAGTTCAGTTTCTGGTCAATTGCATTAACAGTGGGGGGGGTTCAGCAATCATATGCCATTGAATGCCAAGGGGCAATGATTGGATTGTCCCTTTCTGGGGATAGTCATTACCTGGCACTTGTGTGACACAATGTTACTTGCCAATTGTCAGCAAAGTCTGAATATCATCCAGGTTTTGTTGCATTTAGACATGGACTGCTTCAGTATCTGAGGAGTCAGAAATGGTGCTGGACATTGTGCAATCATTAGTGAACATCCCCACTTCTGACTTTATATTGGAGGGAAGGTCATTGATGAAGCAGCTGAAGACGGTTGGGCCTAGGACACTAAGCTGAGGAACTCCTGCAGAGATATCCTGGAGCTGAGATGACTGACCTCCAACAACCACAACATTCATTTATTTCATGGAGAATGGAATATAAAAGTCGGTATGTTTCACTACAGTTGTACCAAGCACTGGTGAGACCATATTTGGAGCATTGTGGACAGTATTGGGCTCCTTGTTTAAGAAAGGTTGTGAATGCATTAGAAACAGTTCATTGAAGGTTCATTTGATTGCTGTGTTGGATGATGTGAGGGTTATTTGAAGAGGAAAAGTTGAATTTTTTGCATAATGGTTCTGAAGAAGGTGATGTTAAAGTTGCAATAGCTCCACCCAATCTGATGATGTAACACAGTCTTTGGGTAAACAGAGGTGTCATCGTTAGCTCCAGATAGTTGTAATTATGCCTGTTTAATCGATGTTTGTTGTCTCTATTGCCATTGACCAATAAACTGTGCCTTGTCATATGAGGAAAGTGCCTCTTCTTGTTAAGACTCTCCAGTGGTTCCTCTACCACTGATAATTAGAGGATTGGTGGGAACTCTCTCCCCCAACAGCGAGCCACCAAAAATTGCCCAATACAACAATACAGGGTAGACCTGTGTCCATTGGTGTTTGGGAGAATGAGAGGTGATCTTATGCAAATATTTAAGATTGTGAGACAATGTATCCTCTTGCAGGGAGGACAAGACCAGGGGGACACAATTTAAAATTAAAAGGGCATCATTTAAATAGAGAGAAGGAGAACTATTTTCTCTCAGATCTCCGGGATTCTTTTGAACTCTCATTCCCTGAGAGCTGTGAAGGGGGTGTGGGGGGAGGTGGGGTGTTGGGGAGGCTCTTTAAATATTTTTAAGACGGTGGTTGATAGATTCTTGACCAATGAGGGGGTCAAAGGTTATGGAAGGTAAGCAAGAATGTGGAAATCAGATCAGCTGCAGCCTCATGGAATGGAGGAACAGGCCCAAGGGGCAGAATGTTCTTTAGCTGCTTATCATTCCAATGTTTGTACGTATGTTCATATGATACATGTGTGGGCATTGGTGAGGCAAACTCCCAGCAGTTTTAACACAGGCAGCAATAGCTTCTGCAAAGACTCCACAGATGACAAATCGCAACACAGGTATGATACGGGAGACAGAAGCAGTTTGCCAAGGCTCAGCTCCAACACAACGAAACCTCCCGCCATCCCACGTTTGCTGTGGTACAAACAGTGGTGACCTTCTGAAACATTGAAAGCCTGGCTGACCATAAAATGAAATCAGCAGCTCTCGTCCTAAGAATGTTATGGCTACATCACTAGGAATGAGATTTGCGTCTCTTTAAAATACATAAGACACAAGAAATAACAATCACATCAGCCAAAAATTAAGTTAAACGAGAAAAGAATTAAACTTTAAGTGACCCTGGCTACACTCTATACGGCCCATTAATAATTCCTAATCTAATCAGTGGGGTAAAGACAATAAGGCAGGAGATACCAGGTACTGTGCCAACAAGGCCCAGTGCACTGCATCCTCTTTAGAACCAGAGATTCTTTGTTGATTGTATATCTTTCATTCAGACTGGAAGAAGATTACCTCTTTTGTTATCTGACACTGCTAATGTCATGTCCTTGTAACAGATAGATTCTTTTCTTTGTAAATAACCCTAGTGTCACTGATAGAGGCCTCAGCAGGCAGTGCCTGTAAATAGACAGGCGTTAGTCATTGTCAGGTGTCACCATTGATAAATACACTGCAGATAGAAAGCTTGGCTTTTGCACAAACTCACACTTTCCCAAAAAATTCATCACGTCATCTGTTGACCTGATACAATCTTTTATCAGTTGCTTATCTGTCACTGACAGTACTGTGCCATGATTTGGTGCCAATAACCCCTCATAGGAATCACCTTATTCTGCACATTTTAGCATCTGTGTGATGGGAGTCCAATCAAAATCTGAACAATTCAATCATCTTTTAACAGAAGTGTTGTGTTTATTGAATGCCTGTTGATTGAGTTTACATTTTGAAAGTTCTTTCCAATTGATAAAGCAAACCATTATGAATAAATAATGCAATTATTCTTTGTTTTAACAATTAAGACTGTCCAGTAATGAATTCCTTTTTGTTGTATTTGTCATATTTAATAATTCAGTGATTTGGAGCCGGCTTTTGCTGTGCTTATCAACAGGATGTGTTTCTCATTCTAAGCTTGCTAATGAAGAGAGGACAGGGTACTCGTGAAGCCTAATGAAATGAAATACTGAATAAAATCAAACATTGCTGATGATGGAAATCTGAAACAAGCGCAGATTGTGCTGGAGAAGTTCAGCAGGTCTGTCAGCATCTGTGGAGATGCTCTGTTAACTGTTTCTCTTCCCATAGCTAACACTGATGTTGTAATCTGTTCTGTTACATATCACAGCTCGCTAGTATCCAGCATATCTTTAACTGATGTGCTTATGATATCATTACGGTAGATTATCATAGCATGTGGCCCGATGATAAAATGGTCTCAGTCTCCATCTTAACTGGAGCCACTTGAAGCATGGCGTGCTAACACTGTGTACACTGCAGATGCTGAAGATCTGAAACTAAAATAGAAATTGCTGGAGAAACAAAAAAGGACACAGAACACTGTCCACTGTACCTCCTTAGATATATGCAACAGTAAATCATTCATTCATATATTCAAAGGCACCAGATCCTCTGAGAAACTCAGCAGGTCTGGCAGCATCTGTGAAAAGAAAGAAATGGAATTAACATCTCGAATCCTCTGAAGAAGGGTCACTGGACTCAGTGTTAACTCTGCTTCTTTCTCCATAGATGCTGCCAAACCTGCTGAGTTTCTCCAGCAATTTCTGCTTTTATGACACTGTGTACAGTTTACTGGATTAAAATCTGGACGAAGTAGGTTCTCTTATGAGGACAAGTTGGACAGACTGGACTCGTTTAGGAGAATGAGAGGTGACTTGATTAAAGTGTATAAGATCCTGAATGATCTTGATAAAGCGAATGCGAAAAGGATGTTTTTTCTTGTGAGTGAGTCCAGAACAGTCCACTACTCTAAAATTAGGGAATGACAGAGACATACAGCATGGAAACAGACCCTTCGGTCCATCTCATCCATGCCGACCAGGTTTCCTAAGCTGAACTAGTCCCATTTGCCTGTGTTTGGCCCATATCCCTCTAAACCTTTCCTATCCATGTACCTGTCCAAATGTCTTTTAAATGTTGTAATTGTACACACCTGCACCATTTCTTCTGGCAGCTCATTCTATACACACACCACCGTTTGTGTGTGAAAAACACCCTTTTAGGAGAGAGACGAGGGGAATTTTCTTTCTCTTGGAGTGCTGGGCAACTTTGAATGAATGAATGAATGATTTACTGTCACATATATCTAGGGAGATACAGTTATAAATATCCAGTTGGCACAGTCTGGCGCCATTTTAAGGTGCAAAAAGATAAAAGGTACTTAGAGTTCAGCTTCATTGGCTGGGATCCCAAACACGGCTGCAGGACTTGTGCAAGGTCTCTGCAAGGTCCTAACTCCAGGCCTACCCCAGCCAGGACTCCCGGATCGACCAGTACTACAGCCGACTTCCTGCGGCCATTCCATGAGTCCAGACTCCAGGCCTGCGCAGCCAGGAGTCACCGCCGACACTGCTCCGGCCTCCCTGTGACATCAGCAAGACAAAGAAAAGAAAAAGAGGAAGAAAAATGTTGAAAAGGAGAGAGGGAATAACGATGCAGCCAGCTTGCAGTGAACGGCCTGAGCCCGAACACCACCTACCATGCCAGTGTTGCCATAGATTTGTACAGCACAGAAACAGACCCTTTGGTCCAACTCATCCATGCTGACAAGATATCCTAAATTAATCTAGTCCCGTTCGTAAGTATTTGGCCCTTATCCCTCTAAACCCTTTCTATTCATGTAACTATCCAGATGTCTTTTAAACGTTGTAATTGTACCAGCCTCCACCAATTCCTCTGGCAGCTAATTCCATACACACACCACCCTCTGTATGAAAAGGTTGCCCCTTAGGTCTGTTTTAAATCTTTCGCCTCTTGCCTTAAGCCTATGCCCTCTAGTTTTGGACTCCCTCACCCCTGGGAAAAGAATCTGACTATTCACCCTGTCCATGCCCCTCATGATTTTATAAAACTCTATAAGGTCACCCCTCAGCCTCCGATGCTCCAGGGAAAATAATCCCAGACTATTCAGCCTCTCCCTATAACCAAAACCCTCCAACCCTGGCAACATCCTTGTAAATTTTTTCTGAACCCTTTCAAGTTTCACAACATCTTTCCTATAGCAGGAAGCCCAGAATTGCATGCGCTGTTCCAAAATGGGCCTACCCAATGTCCTGTACAGCCAAAACATGGCCTCCCAACTCCTATATTCTATCTTGAACTCTCTGTTTCAGAAGACAAGGGTGGGAGGTTGGGGGCGAGGTTATTGGATATTTTTAGGGCAGAAGTGAAACACACTGCCTGAAATGAATGAAACCAATTCAACAATCCTTTTCAAATGGCAACTGAATAAATATTGGGAAAAGGATGCATTTTGCAAGGCCATTAGGAAGGAAAACGTGAAAATGGACATAACATTTTTCATCACTACCAGTTGTCTCAAAGTGCTTCACATGCAGTACAGTTCTTTTTGAAGAGTAGTGGGAGTTTCAGGAGTGCAGGGATAATGTCACCAGATAATAATCCAGAGGCTCTGACATGGGTTCAAATCCCATTAAAGCAACTGCTGAAATTTGAATTCAGCAAATGGATCTGGTAATCTAGAGCTAGTCTCACCAACTGTTACCAATAGCTATAAAAACCTGACTGCTTCATTAAGGTCCTTCATCTGCCATCCTTACCTGGTCTGGCCTACATGTGACTCCAGACCCAGGGCAATTGGCTCATGATTACGTTCTCTTCGAAATGGCTTCACATGTCCCTCAGTTCAAAGGTAATTAAGGATGGGCAATGAATATCGGCCTTGCCAGCAATGCCCATGTTCCATGAGAGAATAAAGAGGAAGTAAAAGTCATTGTTGTATTGTAGATAGTGTGGCAACCCATCTTAACAGATATGGAAGGCTTAACAAAAGACAGAAGCTAAAACTTTGCCCATTCCAATCCATAACACAACTATCAGGCAGTTCAGAGAGATAGCAGATTTCCTTCACGGAGACATATGTACAAAGTGTTGGTATAAGCTAATCTGCCTCGGAGTTCATGCCACATGTTTCTAAGTACAAGCACATAACAATCTGCATCCTGAGATAAGATCCTGTACTGCTGAGACTGATTTGTGGTCCATACTCTACCACAGATGACTGAGTAGCCCCTTAGACTGGCATAGGGAGGTGGGCAGCACTCCACCTTGACCATAGGCCCCCACTGATGGTGCCTCGGTATCACATCATATTGTAACAATATACACCAAGTAAACTTCCATTATCATGGGGGAAACAACATGGGATTAGAATTAATTGGATAACCCTTTTTAAAGAGGCAGCACGGACACAAATGGGCCAAATGGCCTCCTTCCCAGTTTTAACAATCTATGATTCCATTGATTTTCCTCACGGTGCTCTCACCACCAGCACTCCAGGGATAACGGGCAGTAAACTAGCCTCAGGTATTTCTAAACTGGCCCATCAATAAAAATACTTTCAGTTATGTAAAAGTGAGAATGGTTTTGTTGAATTAAGTGCCCTGCTATCTCTAATCAATAGCAGCTAAATATATAACCAGGCCATTTCGCTGAAACTTCCCTCTGCGTTGAAGATATATTACTGTACGAAATTGTTGACCTTTCTTATATCTTTGTGCAGTTTAAACTGTGGCTGCTTGTTGGTGTCTAAAATGACTTTCCCACACAACCATGGGAAGGTACCACACAAGTTATAAACTGGAATAAATAGAGGACAGTGTCTAAAATATTGAAAAGATAAGTTCCATGGGAAAACCAGTTTGAGAAAGACAGTGGTTAATATATAACTACCGTACATACCAAAATATAGTGGCAATCAATTTGCAAGTTCATTGGCACCAATAAAACTGTGGAAGGATATTCGTAAAAAGAAGCATTTTGATACAAAGTGGTCACAATTGTTAGTGATGAAGATTTCAGCTGCAAGTTAAGGGTACCTTAATGATTTCTAATGATTTGAAATAAGTTTGCAATGTTTCCAATTTGGGCAGGGAGTCTTTCCGTAAGGGAATATTACATCATGGAAAGGAAAGTGGTTGGTAGATTGGTGGAATGCTGGGTTCACTTTATCTCCATTAAATTTTGGCCTCTTTCCAGACTCATAGCTTCACTGTGCCTGATGCAGAAATGACATCACGAGTTACATGTAGCGTTCAGACGCTAAGACTAACTCAACCCTTCACACTCTGCAACGTGTTGAGCTATTACTGTGACACTCAATGGGGAGCATTTTATGCAGGACTTATGGAGTGGCTCAGCAGTTAGCAGTGCTGCCTCACAGCGCCAGGCACCTGGGTTCAATTCCAGCCTCAGGTGACTGTTATGTGGCATTTGCACATTCTGCATGGGTTTCCTCCCACAGTCCAAAGGTGTGCAGCTTAGAATGGATTGGCCATGCTAAATTACTCCCTACTGTCCAGGGATGCTAGGTGGGCTAGCCGTAGGAAATACAGGGGTAAAGTAGCAGGGTGGGTCTGGGTTAGATGCACTTCAGGGAGTCAGTGTGTACTTGTTGGGCCAAATGGCCTGTTTCCATACTGGAGGGATTCTATGGACAGGTAATCTAAATGGCTGTTCACCAAGGTTGCTTCTTCTTTAGAAAAGATTTGTAGCGTGCTGCAAGGCTGTACGGAGTAAAGTTAAAGTCACTATAGTCCCACTCTCTCATTAGAGAGAAAGACGACTGGTGGTAGATTAACCTGAGGGTTATCATGCCTCAGCAAGGGGAGAGGTGGAGGAGAGTCCTTCATGGTAACCTCAGCTGGTGTGGGAACTGAACCCACGCTGTTAAGAACATAAGAGCAAGGAGGATCAACGCTGACAAGATGGGCTGAATGACCTTGTGTCATGTAACAATTCCATGGTTTTGAGCGACAGGGTAAGAGAAAAACATTTGCTAGCTTTTATGTATTCACTTTGTTCTCCCTCTCCTGGGCGGTGGAAGAACTTGGGGGTAATGTTTGTTTTGAATTCTTTCAGTTTCCGTACGATACAACTATGGTAGCTCTCACATTGACATGGCCCTTATAGCCGTCAAGGGCCTGTAACACTCTCCTAGTTTGCACTGGGCTAGTTAATATCTTTTCTTCGGTCACATAATTGCACTTCACTGGCACTACCTGTGCTTCAGGAAATTACAGCTGAACATTTTATTCACTTCTTGTAGCTATTTATCGGCCATAACAGTCAGGAGTGAAGCCATGTGGTTCAAAGGTCCAACAAATCTCAGTGAACTGACTGATTTTGCAGTCTCCTCGTTTCGCAAGGTGAAGATGATGGGGGACTGCAGAAATACAGAAGCATTTCCAAATGCACAGTCAGTCCTGTCCTCCACATGCTCCTTTATCAGGTGTAACTTACCTCTTCACCAGCTTACAGCAGCCGGGATAGCTGTGGATATCTTTCTTCAGCTTGTCACTGAGGGGTAAAGGCTGAGGGGGTGAGGATCACGCCACACGTGTGTGTGGAAATAATGTTTAATTTCATAGTTTCTCATGAGGTCTGTCATGATAACTTGGACTGTTGATTCAACTTCCATTGCCTGCTTTTAATACCTGAGGTTTTCAGGAGCTGAAGTGATTTTATGAAGAGGATAGACGCTCATTGAAATAGCTGCTGTGATCCACTGGACACAGACTGAGGCAAGTCCAAGGAACCCAGTTGGAATAACACAAAATAGGCTGCATTGAAATTACCATTTCATCCAAAAACAGTGAGACCGGACGACTCAGTCAGATGTGAAGTTTGAATCCTGTTCACTTCACACTTGCTCGATATATTCACAAATTGGGAGATGAATGGGTGTAGAGCTGGATGAATGCAGCAGGCCAGGCAGCATCAGAGGAGCAGGAAAGCTGATGTTTCAGGTTGGGACCCTTCTTCAGAAATTTCTGAAGAAGGGTCCAGACCCGAAACGTCAGCTTTCCTGCTCCTCTGATGCTGCTTGGCCTGCTGTGTTCATCCAGCTCTACACCCATTCTTGTTATCTCAGATTCTCCAGCATCGGCAGTTCCTACTATCTTTCTTGGGAGATCAATGGCTGCCTGTGGAGTTTGCAGATGGGAAAGACAGTAGAGTGAAGAAAATTTAATTTAAATGTAATTACTGCTGGAGAAACCAGACAACAATCAAACAGCCGTGAACTCATGTCCCACTCTCACACCTCAAAGATTATGAGAAATGTTAAACTGCATACTTTTATTCTGCCTGTCTGTATCACAGTCTCCATATTAAACTTATTACCTACATTTGTGTGTGCATGTGTTTCATTATTTTAGTTTAGGAATCAGCAGGCAATTAAATTTCATTTTCTTTCACTTAAGAATTTCATATTTGGCTCATTCATTTTCGAGCAAACTATATTTAACTGAATTGAGAGAGTTACACGCTAAAATGAAAATTTGTTACAAACAACTGAGGTGGGATGTAGAGAGAGGAGTCAATTCTCCCTCCTTAC